CTTTTCCAAAGGGTAAGGCCTGACCACTTATTATTGAAGATCACCTTCTCCTCCCATTTACTTAAAAAATATCAGCTAAGCTGGGCGCGAATTTCGCGCCCATCGCTACGCCTTTTTTCTGTTCATAAAAATTACCCCCCATACCAGAAGTAATTTTTTCCCATGCAAAATTCTAATAATTTTATAATAAATTTCCTGTTTGATATTAAGTATTATGTAATAGCCAGGAATGTGGATGTCCGTGGTAGTGACATCCTCCGTGTTTATGTATATACGGCGGGTATATCTGCCGTGGGTACCGCAATTGAGATACAGTGTAGTATGGGCAGTGTTCCCTTCTCTGACATGGCGGCCTTGGTCTCAGCGCTCATGTCAGAGAGAGGAATAAGTAGGACCTTCCTGTTAGACGTCTCTATCCTTTATGATTAAGTCTAATTGACTAAATATGTCAAAGGGAAGTGACGTTAGACTCACAGCTGAACCGGAAGTGATCGAGCGGCCATTTTGGATCCTGGAAATCTCTATTTGAGACACAGGAGAGGATCTGCTGAGGATTTCCGAAGGTCTGGCTGGGCTGATTTCTTTGATGGCAATTTTAAAGATGAAGATATATGTAAGCACATAAATAAAGTATATTCTGTTTAAGGTTTTATGGAATTACACTATTGTGGTTTAATTTATGGTGGGCGTCGTTTGGAGACTGATGTGGAGAGGAGTATAATACTGTGGCTGTGAAGATCCCTCTGGAGGAACTTATTATATATCAGTACCCTGCCTGGAGGATTACCAAGCTTGTGTTTATATATTTTTTTTGGTAAGGGTATCTATTTTGCACACTCTCGAAGTGGATAGTCGTTTTTCACAGTTTTTTATCACTAGATTGTTTCAGAGGCACGTGTTTACACAGCTATTCACCTTACCATATAGTGATCACAAGTGTTTTTGTGTGAATCACATGGAATCGTTATGGAATGAATAATTCAATTTGTTAAGGATAATACACTGCGTTTTCCTTTCTTTTTTTTTTTGAGGTTTTTTTGGTTTCAGAAATTACTTTGGAGGCTGTCTTTATCTGGAGGTTGATTTTGAGATTTTGAATGACTTTGATATTTTGAAGGACTAATTTATTATTTTGGGACTTGTGTGTTTTTTGTTTTTGTTTTGAGCACTTATTATATTTGTATTTATACTTGGGATACTAAGCATATTTCATAAGAGGGGTAAGGCTCGACTGTGTTCAGGAAGGGAAGCGGTCTCGGCTGTGTTTGGGAGGGGGGGCAGGCTCGTGTGTGCTGAGACTGGGGCGGGCTCGTGTGCTTGGCTATTTTCGGGAGGGGGGCGGGCTCATATGTGCTCGGGGGGAGGGGACGGTCTCGGCTGTGTTCAGAAGGGTGGGCGGGCTCATGTGAGCTCAGTCTGTGGGGTGGTCCACCACGCCGCTGCTCTGTGTTGTCACTGTCCGGCTAGTCGGGGCAGGGAAAGCACGCGATTGGTTACTAGGACATTGGCAGTCCTAACAACCAATCAGGTGCTTGCTCCGCCCCCAGGCTGTGACATTCAGAGGAGGAGGAGGGGGGGGTGGCAAGGACAGGACTTCCACCTCGTGTAGCTGCCTAGAAGAATGAATGGAATGGACCCTGAGGTAAGGGGGGTTATCCTGATATAAGGGCAGGAGGAACTTTGGGGACCAAATTAAAAAGAATGGGCTCTAGGGACCCCGATGTAAGGTGGGGGACTCTGAAGTCAATGCTGTATAGGGGGACCCTGATGTATTGGGAACTCTGGGGACCCTTATTTAAGGAGGGGGATTTGGGTCTCTGGGGGACTCGATGTTTGGGGAGGGTCTATGGGTCGGGGGACTCTGGAGACCACGATGTAAACATGGACCCTGATGATGTATTGGGGGGGGAGTCTTGGGACCCTGATGTAAGTGGTAGGGCCTATGGGGACCCAGATTTAAGGAGGGGGGCTCTGGGGGACCATGATGTAAAGGGAGGGCCTGTGGGGACCCTGATGTAAGGTTGGGGGGGGGACTCTGGAGACCAAGATGTAAAGGACTGACCCTGATGTATAAGGGGATGGGCTGTGGTGACCGTGATGTACATAAGGTGGAGGCACTCTGGAGACCATGATTTAAAGGGGATCCTTATTTATTGGGGGGGGATTTTTGGACCCTAATGTTGAAGGGGGACTCTGGGGACCCTGATTAAGGAGAGGGAAATTTGGGGACCCTGATGCAAGGGCAGGGGTTGGGGGACCCTCTCCTGTACCCTGTCCTGTACCCTGTCCGTAGTCTCTGGCCGTCTCCTGGGTGGAGCTCTAATAGGAAGAGGTGGAGCCTAAAGTGGAAGGGGTTGGGTTTACAGGTGAAGGGGTGGATCCTAAACAGCAAAGGGTGGGACAAATTTAGATGGGGGCGTGACTGAACAAGGTGTTCAATCCAAACAGCATCCATACATTGAACCCTGGATGACCAACTGGCATTTCAGCCTCTTCCATCAGAGTCGTATGGACTCAGATGCTGTTTTGGATTGAACACCTTGTTCAGTGTGATATGCCTGTGTTTTTCATGTCTATTGTGAGTATGATACTTACTTTTTTCTCTCAATAAATATTTTTTAAACGATAATGCACTAGGCTGGTGCGCCCTCTTTTTGCTTTTTCATTTGCATTTAGTGATTTTGGACTACCCTGGTCTGTTGAGGGCAGCAAGCAGTGCACATTCCAGAACGTTCATATTGGTTCTGCTGAGTCCATTCCCAGCGAAGGAGAAAAGTGTTTGCTGTGTTGGGTTAACCCCTTGCTGCCCAGTGCCATTAGTACAGTGTCAGTGCTTTTTATTAGCACTTATCACTGTATTAATGTCACTTAAGATGTCAATGGCAGTTCCCCCCCAGTGTCAGAATGCCCGCCACAGTCCCACTATAGGTCGCTGAATGCCGCCATTAGTAGTATAAAAAAAAAACAAAATAAAAATTCCAGTATATACAGTTGTGTTCAAAATAATAGCAGTCAGACATCACTAACCTGATCAATCACTGTTTTTGGTAGAAATTATATATCTACATGACACATAATTTACTAGCAGGTGTAGTAGAGTAATAGAAATCCAACAGACCCAACAGTCATGACATGCATGCTGCTGATTCTGTGTAATTGAATCACTAATTGAAAGGAGCATGTTCAAAATAATAGCAGTGTGGAGTTCTATTAGTGAGGTCATTCATTCTTTGAAAAACAGTTGGCAATTATTGCCCTTATTTAAGGAAGGAAGGCAGCAAATGTTGTACATGCTGGTTACAGTGCATTTCTCTCTGAAATTCTGAGGCAAATGGGTCGTTCCATACATTGTTCAGAAGAACAGCGTACCTTGATTAAAAAGTTGATTGGAGAGGGGAAAACAAAAGAAGTGCAGAAAATGATACGCTGCTCAGCTAAAATGATCGCAAATGCTTTAAAATGGCAACCAAAACCTGAAAGACGTGGAAGAAAGCGAAAAACTACCATTCGAATGGGTAGAATAGCCAAAATTGCAAGGACTACTCCAAAAATCAGCTCCAGGAAGATCAAAGAAGATGTAAAGTTCCCTGTGAGTACTGTTACAATTAGAAGACGCCTATGTGAAGCCAAGCTATCTGCAAGAAGCCCCCGCAAAGTCCCACTGTTGAAAAAAAGACATGTGCTGAAGAGGTTACAATTTGCCAAAGAGCACATTGACTGGCCTAAAGAGAAATGGCGCAACATTTTGTGGACTGATGAAAGTAAGATTGTTCTTTTTGGGTCTAGTGGCTGGAGACAGTTTGTCAGACGACCCTCCCCCCCCCCCCCCCCCCCCCCCCCCCCCCCCCCCCCCCCCCAAAACACTGAATTCATACCACAGTACACTGTGAAGACAGTGAAGCATGGTTGCACAAGCATCATGATATGGGGATATTTCTCATACTACGGTGTTGGGCCTATTTATCGCATACCAGGGATCATGGATCAGTTTGAATACATCAGAATACTTGAAGAGGTCATGCTGCCTTATGCTGAAGAGGAAATGCTCTTGAAATGGGTGTTCCAACAAGACAACGACCCCAAACACACCAGTAAATGTGCAACATCTTGGTTCCAGACCAACAAGATTGACGTTATGGAGTGGCCAGCCCAATCCCCGGATCTTAATCCAATAGAAAACTTGTGGGGTGACATCAAAAATGCAGCTTCTGGGGCAAAACCAAGAAATAGAGAACTGTGGAATGTAGACCAATCATCCTGGGCTGGAATACCTGTTCACAGGTGCCAGAAGTTTGTTGACTCCATGCAACACAGATGTACAGCAGTTCTCAGAAACAGTGCTTATACAACTAAATATTCATTAAGTGATTCAAAGAAAGCAAAATCTTTGAACATTTTTTAGTTTATATAGTGAATGTTTGAGTTTGTAAAGAATACAAACACTGCTATTTTTTTGAACAGTCTTCACTTTTCTTCAATTTTTTTAGAGGAACAACACAAATTTGATATATTTTTCTTCATGTTTTGATTTGGAATAGAATGTGTAGTGTTCCCAATGCATTTGTTTGTATGGAAATAAAAGCTATTAGAAGGATTTTGAGCTTTATTCACTTTTTTCAACACACTGCTATTATTTTGAACACAACTACCGTATTTGCCGGCGTATAAGACGACTTTTCAACCCCTGAAAATCTTCTGAAAAGTCGGGGGTCGTCTTATACGCCGGTATACGGCGAGCCGGTGTGTCAGGGTGGCACTTTTTCCAGGGGCGGTGTCCTCCAACGGACACTAAGTACAGGGGTGGGCAGAGGGGCTGCTGTACCTTACCTGGCTCCGGTCCCGGTCCCACGATGATCCGGTCCAGGAAGCTGCTCCTTCTTTCAGCGCGGCCGCTCGGCTCCGCCTCCTTACCGGTGATTGGGCACCAACGCACACAGGCGACCAATCACCGGCGAGGAGGCGGAGCCGAACGGCCCCGCGAAAATCAAGCTGCCGAACTGAAAGAAGGAGCAGCCGCTTCTCTCCCCCACTGACACTAACGATGGGGCACTATTCCTCCTCCACACTGACACCAATGATGGGGCACTATTCCTCCTCCCCACTGACACCAATGATGGGGCACTATTCCTCCTCCCCACTGACACCAACGATGGGGCACTATTCCTCCCCCCACTGACACCAACGATGGGGCACTATTCCTCCCCCACTGACACCAACGATGGGGCACTATTCCTCCCCCACTGACACCAACGATGGGGCACTATTCCTCCCCCACTGACACCAATGATGGGGCACTTTCCTCCCCACTGACACCAATGATGGGGCACTATTCTCCCCCACTGACACCAATGATGGGGCACTATTCCTCCCCCACTGACACCAATGATGGGGCATACCATATGATCTATCCCCCACTGACACCAACGATGGGGCACTATTCCTCCTCCCCACTGACACCAACGATGGGGCACTATTCCTCCTCCCCACTGACACCAACGATGGGGCACTATTCCTCCTCCCCACTGATACCAACGATGGGGCACTATTCCTCCCACTGACACCAATGATGGGGCATTCCTCCCACTCCAATGATGGGGTGCCCTCCCACTGATACAAATGATGGGCACTATTCCTCCCACTGACACTAATGATGGGGCACTATTTCATCCACTGACACCAATGATGGGGCACTATTCCTCCCACTGACACTAATGATGGGACACTATTCCTCACACACTGACACTACTGATGGGGCACCATTAGTGTCAGTGGGAGGAGTAGTGCCTCATCATTGGTATCAGTGGGAGGAATCATGCCCCATCATTGGTGTCAGTGGGAGGAATAGCACCCCATCATTGGAATACCATACTGAAATAGCATACCATATTGAAATCAAATCTGATGTTTTTTCATTTTTATTTGGTGTGCGTTGGAAGAGGGGTAGTCTTATACGGCGAGTATAGCTCAAACCCTATATTTTAACAGGAAAAGTAGGGGGTCGTTTTATACGCCCAGGCAAATACGGTATATATATATACCGCCATTTGTAGATGACCACCATGGGGTTGGAACTTCTGCTTTGTCTAAAATATAAAAAGACAGTAAATGTAATTGTAGGTTTCTAGAAATAATTAGCATTGGTAATTGTACCACAATGTGGAAAAAGAAAGTACGCTTCTGTAGGGAATGTAATGTTAAGAATTAGAGGGAACAACTTGTCATTTATGCAGACCTGTTATTAAAGAAACAGTACTTTGTATAATGAGAGGAATAGCTATTTATGCTCAACATTGCAGTATGGCATCCTATAAAACCTCACAGTGGACGTGACGGATTTTATAAGTTAAATATATAGAAAAAGAAGAGGTGAGCTATAACAGAGGAGAATAGGAGATGTGCACATCTTAGGCTAGGTTCACACTTGTGCAGCTGCGACTTGTTCAGATTTTCACTGCGATTTAGTAATGTGACATTGCGTGTTTCTGACATGTTTTTCATGCTGCTGTGTTTTTTTGTAGGGAAGGAGACTGCTCAATTCACTTAGCAGTGGTATTCCAACACTGCTAATGTGACAATTTCAGATTCCTGACAGACAGGTGAATGTAAACAAAGGAGAGTCTGAACAGAAAAATTATTTTGAAAAATGTGCGGAGGTTCCCCCACAATCCATGTAAGGCCTTTTGGACAACTTAATTTTGGGCAAAACCCTCAAAACTTAATTCTTTAAAAAATAAAAATAACTGCAAAACTCACCCTATCTACAGCAAACTTACCTGCCCACCGATCTACTCTTCATTTGGATTGAATAATGCCATGAAACTCACTTTCAGTGAGTCCAGGCCTTAGGCTGGGTTCACACATATGCAATGAGGCAGGGGCGGACTGACAGCTCATGGAGCCCCTGTGTCCTCGCTCACACTCCAAGCACACCCAAAAAAGCCTATAAAAGGTACCAGGGGCATTTCATGGGGCCCCCTACTGGCCCCGGGCCATTGGGCAGTGCCCGTGTGCTCAAATGGTCAGTCCGTCCCTGCGATGAGGTATATTGCATGTTATTCGCACCGCATTCCTGTGCAAATCACATGCGAATTGTATGCTCCAATTGCACCGCATCCACACCAAAAAGGTGCAGGACACTTTTTTTGGTCCGCACTAGAATCTGATTGCATGGGTATTCACACCCATGTGCACATCACGTTTTGCGGACCAATTTCGGGGTGTTGTTAACATACAAATCTGATGCGGTGAGGAATTTGCACAGAAAATGCTGCAAATTCTGCACGGCATCAGTGTGACCCCAGGCATAGTGTCTCTGCCCAAATCCTGGAATAACAGCAGAATTCTGCAGAGAGCTGTTCCATGTCTCAATAGATGTAACATCACTCTCCACACCATTTAGGATCCCCACACCACCAGAGGAAGAAGAGCGTGAAGAGGACCTATGATGTCAGGAGATCAAAGATGCCTGGAAAATAGATAAGTATTTTTTTTTTTTTTTTTAGGTTGCTGGGGTGGTCAAACTCAGACAGAGGACCTATTTTGGAGATGACAAGTGCACTGGAATTCTCCCATTATCCGCAGAGGCATGTATGGACCTGCAAAGCCCAGACAAAACCACATGGTACTGTCTAATTTCTTTATTGATTATACGTATGTTAGAAGTGATGCAGGCTTATATCCTGAGACTTGAGGATAGGCTTGGAAACCCTAGATGTCCATGCCTAGACTGCCTTTGATGGCCATTGGTGGCTGTTTGTGGACTTTTGTTCACCTCTGTAATGATCCAAGGTTTTTACATGGCATATAAACATTCAAGAAATAAACTGCAGTACTGAATCAAATAAAAACATATACTCAATATATATCACCATTATTATGAGAATTCAACCAATCTATCAAAATAAATGTAAAAAATGTGAGAAAGTCCACCGGAATGGACCTAAATCAGTTCATAAATGTGTCCCCAAAATAACTTCCATCTCCTTGCTGAAGTAATCACCAGAGTCAGTGTGAATCTCCTCTCACCAAACAGACAGAATGCGCACTCATCACAACCAAGAGCTGCCAGATGATAAGCAGCAAACAGTGTTTCAGTAGTTTGGGTAGGATTCTCCTGCATTTAACCAGGATCTGGTCACCAATTCCTCCTCTGCTCCACTAGGGGGCAGTAGTGTCCACATGTGCTCTAAAATGCAACCAGCCAACACAAGAAAGGCATGATAGTGTAGTATTTATTAGAAACGTCATCCCTACAAGTAAAGACCACTAAATATATTTTCATCTATTAAAACCAAAAATTAACAGGATAAGTACAAAAATAAAGCTGCCAGAAACTTACATCAACAGCAAAAAGGAGACTGATGTGGCGGTGTGATGTCATGCTTGTAGCTCCTCCCAACACGTTTCGTCACTGCGCGTCCTCGGGGGGCCTCTGTACTGTTTTTGCTGCTATACTTGTAGGTCAGACATATAACATAACAGTTAAATGAAATAACCACAAAGTTTCCACAAGCATGGTTAAATCTAGTACAAGCTCTCCAACGCTGTCATTTTCTGTGCTCATCTTCCGCTGAACATGCAGTCAGTTGCGCACATGGGCGTTCTATATGTCCAGTTTTATGTCAACCCCCAAAGTATGCTTGGGATCATGTCCTTTGAATGGTACAAACGTCCAGTGACATTCGAAATTCTTGGTACCGTTGCACAAACTCCTAGTAGAAGGCACCCTGTTACATGGCATATACTGTAGCATAACCGTGTATGTCCACAAATCAGTAGTTCAGACATTTTCATGTGGAGAGAATCCTGCCCTGACATACCTACTGTTAATCAGAGTTCATTGCAATAGGGGCTGCAGACAGCTGTCAAAGTTGGCACAGTATACACAAAACCAGAATACATTTTCATTAGGGTTCAGACTGATGCAAATTTTTTAAAGTCCCACAATTTAATTTTTCTTCAGTCAGTACTAATGACATAAAAAATATGCTATACGTACTATACACCCTGTTCCAAATTATTATGCAAATTATACTTTTCTCATTTACCTAAATAATTGATGTAAATAACAGTCAGCATAATTCTCATGTTATCAACTATTAAGAGTACAATTCAAATATTATTGAACAAACCTCCTAATGATAACAGTATTTTTGTTAACCATAAAAAACTTACAATGCACTGTTCCAAATTATTGCGCACAGTAAGTTTCAAAACACTTTATAGGTTGTAAAGAACTGAAAATTGTCATTTGTGTTGTTTGCAGCATATTTACTGAAATCAAAAGCTATTTCAATGAAACTTTTAACAACATTTTAACTTTTTAAACATTTTAACATGTCACGTTACATTGTAACATAGGACCCCTTATTTGATAGCAGCTTCACAAGTCTTGCATCCATTGAACTTGTGAGTTTTTGGACAGTTTCTGCTTTAATTTGTTTGCAAGATGTCGCTTGAGGTGATTGTAGCCGTATTATAGCCGTATTTACCCTCCCTCGCTTTTGCTGTATCTTATCTCTAACCTCTTCTTTTTTTTTTTTTCTTCATCCCTTCTAACATTCTGCTGAAACTTTGTGATTTGTATAGTACTGCTTGGACTTTGAAGAAGGGGACATACCCCGAAAGCCTCAAAATTGTATGTTAGTGCAAATAAAAAAGTATCACGGACAGTACTCAATTGTTTCTTTGCAAGGTGTCAGAATAGCCTCTCAGAGCTGCTGTTTGGATGTAAACTGCCTCCCACCCTCATAGATCTTTTGCTTGAGGATGCTCCAAAGGTTCTCAATAGGATTGAGGTCAGGGGAGGATGGGGGCCACACCATGACTTTCTTTCCTTTCATCCCCATAGTAGCCATTGATGCAGAGGTATTCTTTGCAGCATGAGATGGTGCATTGTCATGCATGAAGATGATTTTATTACGGAAAGCATAGTTCTTTCTTCTGTACCAGGGAAGAAAGTGGTCAGTCATAAACTCCACATACTTTGCAGAGGTCATCTTTACACCTTCGGGGACCCTAAAGGGGCCGACCAGCTCTGTTCCCATGATTCCGGCCCAAAACATGACTTCACCACCGCCTTGCTGACGTTGCAGCCTTGTTGGAACAGGGTGGTCGTCCACCAACCGTCCACTACTCCATCCATCTGGACCATCCAGGGTTGCACGGCACTCAGCAGTGAACAAGACTGTTTGAAAATTAGTCTTCATGTATTTTTCTGCCCAATGCAGCCGTTTCTGCTTGTGAGCATTGGTTAGTGGTGGCCGAATAGAAGGTTTATGCACAGTTGCAAGACTCTGGAGGACTCTACACCTTGATGTCCGTGGGACTCCAGAGGCACCAGCAGCTTCAAATATCTGTTTGCTGCTATGTAATGGTATTTTAGCAGCTGCTCTCTTGATCCGATGCATGGATCTGGCAGAAATCTTCCTCAATGTGCCTTTATCTGCATGAACCCGTCTGTGCTCTGAATCAGCCACAAATCTCTTAATAGTGCGATGATCACGCTTATGTTTTCGTGAGATATCTAATGTTTTCATACCTCGCCCAAGGCATTGAGCTATTTCACTCT